TTGTGTGTAGGTGTGTAGTGTGGGTGTGTTTGGTATATAAATAAGGTAAGGGGGAGCTGGTAGTGAGCTATTAGTAGGTTTGGGAGGTTGGGGAGAAAAAAGAAGAGAGAAATAAAGTATGAACAAAATAAATGACAAGGAGGGTACTGGCTGGCAGCATGTCCACCCTGAGCCACTGGCACTAGAGTGAGAACAAGAAAGGTCTCCATCTGGAAGCCCTGGAGCGACTCAGCAAGGTGTGCGTGGCCAGGACAGCATTGTTGTTATTTTATAGTTGTTTTTAGTTAGCATAGTTGTTTTACTGCAGCTTTGAGTTGCCACCTGCCCTTGACAGGAGACCCACTGTATGATCCTCAAAACAGCTCCCAGACCCTGAGGAGGAAGCCTGTTTAACTCATAGTAAGGGAGCACTGACCCGGTCTTCTTCCGCCTGCAGTCCACTCTGGAGGATCAACCAGGCTGCCCCATCCTCGTATACCCCAGCTGCCAGGGACAAAGCAGAGTATTATCTAGACAACTCTTCTTGGTTTAATGATAAGAAAAATGACTGAATGAATGAAGGAAGGAAGTATATTGGAAAATAAGAATTGTTGTCATATGGATTGGCCTTGAACAATTATAATAACAGTAATGATAATTACTTCACGGTCGGTGCCACAACCATCAGCCCTATAATAATGTAATGTAAAAAATAAATATAAAATAAATGTAACAAGGGGAGAGAGTTTGGGGAGTTGAGGGAGAGGTCCATACTCATTTCCCCATTTAGTCCTTGGTAGTGCTGTTGTTGTATCTATATTTGATATGAGTTTATAAAGTTTAGATGTTATTTTCTTGGTGTATCTATTTAGTTTATAAGGGATGTTCTAGTTGGCTGCTGGTTATGTTGATCTTTGATTTAATTATAGAGTTGTTGGTTCTCCCCGACTTCGTACTTCTGGACTAGTGTTCTGAAATACATGCTATGGTTATTTCAAAATCACTGATAAAGGTGAGTGATTCCGTTATGCCAGTGGGCAGAGTTATTGTGCAGTGCAACATCGGGATTATGCCAGATTGGGGTGTATGTACATATTGTTAGTGGCGATTTAGTGGTTTTGTTTGCTTTCCACCAGGTTGTGTAGCTTCAGCTTCATATGAAATTAACTCTCATTCACCAGTGTGCCCTCTTTGTTAGGTGAAAGCTGATGTGGGACCAGCCGAGCCACATGCAGAGCTACCAGGTGACTAACATATTGCTGGAGGATGTGTGAATAAATAGACAATCCTCTCTCCAGCACATTTCTGGGACCAAAAACCTCCTCCAGCGATCCCTTGTCTGTCAGCTATCTTACTTGCCATGTTATGTATCTTTGTATGATGCACTGTCGCCTCACATCAAAAGGTGCCAGGTTCAAGCCACATGGCCAGCCGGAACCTTTCTATGTGGAGATGGCACGTTTTCTCTTTGCCTGTGTACAAAGATATGCACATGTGGACTAACTGGTGTTGCCTTAGGTGTGAATATGAGTGGGAATGTTCATCTGTCTCTAGGTGTCAGCCCTGTGGTAGACTGGCGACCTGTCCAGGATGTACCCTGCATCTCGTCCATTGTCACTTGGGATTGGCTCCAGCCCCTTGTGACCATCCACAAGATAAACATTATAGACTGCTAATGAATGGAGGGATGGTTGAAATTGTTGACAGGAGTCTAGCACTAAGCAGTGGAGGACATGGCCTGCTGCAGTTCAGAAAGCATAGCTGTTTACACTGCAGTTGCAGTTTTTTCAGATTATTAAGTGTATTAAGCTTTGATTTGGACAGGTTTGCAAATTGTTATATGTAATAAACATGGATAGATTGGTGTGAAAGAGACTATTGAGCACAGGCACAGGGGCCCCAGGGTCAGTGCCTCTGCCTGAAGTGACTGCGACCGAGGGGTATGGCGCAGTGCACCACACACCTGAGGAAGCATGAGTGTCTTTAAATAGGTCCCGTCTTGTATGGAGGAAGATTTTACCCAAAATTCAAAAAAGAATATTTTAATTGAAAATGGAATTTTGTACATTTCAGTAGCTGCCAGTAGCTGCCACAGTCAATGGGACAATTGAGTGAGCAGTACCAGACAATGGGAATAGTGTGCTCAAATCAGATTACTTCACACAGCCTGTGTCCTACATTATCACCTTTTAAAAGCAAAAGCCATCGCTGCAACGCATTTAGTATCATTATTTCCTCTTATTTGCTGTTGTTGTCATAACCTCCCTTGAAACATGCTAATAAAGTATTGCCTAATGAGACAGTCTTAAAGTATAACTGGCCCGTATGAAAGACTTTGAACAGTTTATTCTTTGTCTGATAGAAGAGGGGGATACAATATTTTTCCTCCTCTTTCCTGTGGAGGGCAGCATTACGTCTCACGGTGCACAACCTGTTGAAAATCTATTAGAGGAAAAAGAAGAAGAAGAAGAAGAAGAAGAAGAAGAAGACGACGACGACGACGACTCATATGACGTATTTTTTAATGATACAGAAGGAGGGTGGTTTGAGTTTGGCAGCAAAGAGGTAGCTTTTGTAACCATGCTTAGAACGAACCTAATTACCAGAAAAGATCGAAGTGACTGTTGCCGTCAGTACGTTAGGCGAGAGAAGTCGATGTGTTATTGACTTCTTCACAGTAAACTTGGTACGTTAGCTAGCGTAAGCTAGCTGTTGTTGGTTGCCCGTGGTCTGTTTGACTGCAGGCTATCTATAACTTTTTTCCGATTAAATGTTAACCCAGTGTACCACAGAATTGGTGTTTTCCGTCGCCGTAGCCTAAGTAGACCTTATGAAAATGGCAAGTGTCCATGAAAGTTTGTATTTCAACCCTATGATGACGAACGGAGTGGTCCATGCTAACGTGTTTGGCATCAAAGACTGGGTGACTCCGTATAAAATATCCGTCCTGGCGCTGCTCTATGAGATGACCGCGTCCAAAATCACACTGCCAGAAAGAAGACGACTTAACAAGCTAATTCTACCCTTGCAGCAGGTTGGGTTTATTATTGCAGTTATCTTGCACCCTACCCCGTTGAAGCTGGTGTTTTATAGTAGTATCTTTTGTTTCATGTGCAGGGTCCAGACTTGACTCTTGGCCAGTTCCTGTCGAAAGTGGAGGCGTGTTGCCCTCAGACCGCATATGCTGTCAATCTCAGGTGTGCATGATGAACTGACTGTATTTAATTGCTCAGTAACATGCAGATTTGTATTCTGTATAGAACTCAATACTAGGCTAAGGTCCCTGGTACTTCTCCTGTCCCTGCAAGTTAGACATTTTGCTTGTTATTAATTGTTGTATCACTGAAGCATAATGCATCTACCAAAGCTCTCTCTGCCTGTCTACACATATATCTATACATACATATAATGTATTGGAGGCTTTCTTTCATATTTACGAGATCAGGCTCTTGTAATTATAAGAAAAGACACAGACAATAAAAAGACCATTATTACAATAATGTTAAAATACTGACTTTTTTTCATACAAAGGCTGCATGAAATGGCTGATGGAGAGCTAAAAGACATGGAATACTTCTTTTCCACTCTTCCCACTCCGTTCACTGCTTTTGATTCTGAGACTTATAAAACCAGTGTTGTGGGTGAGTAGTACACATGATTTGACAGCTTTCAAATCCGATCAGAAGTCCCAAAATATTTGGATTGTTCTTATCAACAAGACTTGTATTTAGGTATGTCCCATCTGTTATATTTTATTTTTAGGGCTTTTTATGAGGCACATGCTCCTGGCCTACAATAAGCTGTCCTTCAGTCAGGTCTACAAGCTGTACAAGTCTCTGCAGCACTACTATCACAGTCACTATGCCAAGCCTACCGATGGACAGGTGGGTTTGCCCGTGCTGGTCGCTGATGACTCTGACATGGACCTCACCAGCACTGAGGATACTGTAGGAGAGAGAACAGACAAAGAGGAGTTGTACACCCCACTGCATGAGTCAGAACTTCGGTTAGTGATGCTTCTATGGGGTATAATCATTTGAACGATGTGGTGAAAGATTGAATTTAATTTCGAAGAACAAACCTAAGTGTTTGAATCTCAGCTGGAAAGTTTTGACATGTTTTGACTACTTGTGCACTACTTTGGGAAATGCATTCATCATGTGTATGCCAGAGGTCTAACTGTAAACCCCTTGGAGCTTAGGAAAACTTTTCTTTTTACGTTATTGTAACTAGGATGGCTGATAACAGCAGATTCTTGTGTTGTTTTGGCTCTGCTCTAGAAGTGATAACACACCAAGCAGCGGTCCCTTGTCACAAAAACAAGCAGAGTACTTTCTTGCAAGACAGGTGAGTGTATAAATCAAAGTGAAAATAAACTGAAGTGCTGTCTTCTGCAAGGCATTTGATGAGGTTGTTAAAAACATCACCACCCATAGCCTATGTCAAACTTCTATGTGCTGGTGTAGTACTTGGGGGCCCTTATGGTTTTTCTGATGCACCTTTCACCAGGCATATCTTCTGAAGAATGATGAGAACAAAGCTCTGAATCCCGCCGCGCTACAGGAAGAACTCAACAACATGTTGAAGTTTAACCCAGATTTTGCTGAGGCGGTGAGACTGATCTCTTCAACTTCTTGTCATCATTTTATTTGTTTGTTTTTGTGTTGTTGTTTTGTTGTTGTTGTTTTGAGTTGGCTCTCGACTTACCAGTTTCAAGAGTCCAAGGGGGGGGATATCTCCTTCACCGTCTCTGTGTTCTTTTCTCTCTCCTCAGCATTATCTAAACTATTTGAACAGCATGAGAGTCCAGGACATCTTCCTCTCTTCCCACAGTCTCTTACATTATTTTGACCGCCTCATCCTGTCTGGAAACGAGGTGGGGATGAAGGCTATGGTCGAAGTCTCCGCTATGCTGCTCTTAACTTAGCAAGCCTGCATTGCCGCTTCGGCCACTAGTGAGTACAAGTACCTGTGGCATCTGTGTAGATGAACAAGTTACCACATAAAGAATATTCATATTAGGTATTACTTACACTGTTGTTTTGCCTTCAGTCAGCAGGCTGACCTCGCTCTACAGGAGGCTATCCGCATTGCTCAGGAGTCCAATGATCATGTGTGTTTGCAGCACTGCCTGGTAAGAAACCTTTTTTTCTTCTACCTTTATTGTTTTACTTCATGTCTTTGTTGTAACATGTTTGATGGTTCACTGTGTCTGAAAGTGAATCTCAATTTCTTTGTGTTTTTTTGTGTCCTACATCAGAGTTGGCTCTACACACTGGAACAGATGAAGGGATCTGACAGCACTGTGTTAACTGAGGATTCAGTGAAAATGGCTGCCCACTTCTGCCTGCCAGTGAGTACAACCTGAGCTCTGAAATAAGACTGCCTCAATCCTTGACCAAGAATAGTGTAATCCTTATTTTGGCCCACATGCCAAACAAAATGAAAACTACTGTTACAGTGGTTTAGTGATAATGGGTACTGGGACCTTTCTTTATTGTGAGGAATGAGCATGTGCTTTGCACTCTAAGGACAGCATTTTTTGTTTGAAGGTGAGAACTTAACAAGTCAGTTGGGCTTTTTTGCATTGAGTTTTGCACATTGAATCTGTTGTGATAACTGAGCCAAAGCCACTGTAAGTGCTATGACACTGAGGTGTTCTTTGTGTAATTATACCATATGTATAGCTGTTACAGAGTGAGTGTTAGATAATCATGTTAATTATACTTTAGCAACTCTAATTAGAGGTCCTGGCTTTTATTAAATAGTTGCAGCCTGACCCAGATTGTTTTTCTTGAAGTCAGTGTTCCTTCATAAAGGATCATACTGGAATAAATACAAGAGAAAGCTTAAACAAACCAATATAAATTGCAAATTAAAACATGGCTTACTACACATTAAGGGAAATGCAGAAAGCTTATTTATCCATCATGATGCCTGGCTTAACCCTGCTATCTCATATTTGATCTCTGACATGGGTTTCCAACCACAATTTTCTCTGTTATAGTACTTGGCATCTCTGGGCATTCAGTCTCTGGTCCAGCAGGGGGCGACACAGGGTAAGACAGCCCACAAGCTAATGGATGCTCTGAAGAACACAGAAAGCCTGCACTGGAAGCACAGTCTATCAGAACTGATCGAGATCAGCCTGGCTCAGACTACGTCCATATGGAGGATGTATGGCAAGAGGTCAGACTCCTCACCTTGCAGCCCCAGCACACAGTTGTCAGCTCTGTTCCCTGTTGGTGACAATGGATCGCATGCTAGCACACTGCAGTCTCCCCACTGACAATAAAACAACTCAGTGAGACATGGCTGGAATGTCTGATGTTTTTATGCATGCAATAAAACAAACTTTTCATTAGAATAAATACTGAATTCATACGATGGTTTCTCGTGCAGCACCATGGCTCTGCAACAGGCCCAGCTGCTTCTCAACCTGAGCAGTCTGGAGCCAGTCAACTTTGGGGTCCAACAAAACAACACAGAGGCCTTCGCTGTGGCTCTTTGCCACCTGGCTGAGCTGCACGCTGAGCAGGTAACGCATTTGATTTGCTCTCGCCTGTCTGCTTTTCGCCTTGCTGTTGCATAATCCATTAGTCAGTTGGCTCAGCATTGCAAGAAGGTAATAAACATTGATCATGTCTGTCTTGCAGCTCCTGGGCAGAGTTCAGCACTTAACTCCCATGTGCCTTTGCTGCTTTTGCAGGGTTTGTATGGTGCAGTTGCAGAGATCCTCCAGCATCTGAAAGGACAGTTTCCTCCTCACACACAGCATGCCAGGGTGGGTTATGGCAACATACTGTGTTGTTCAGTGCTGCCCTCTTATTAGCTATAACTGCAGAATGTGTAGTTTAGAAACAAGAGTTTAAAGTTTTCAGGTTGGCCAACAGATGTAAATGTTGTAATGTTTCTTTTTTATGCTGACTTATTTAAAACAAAACACTGATGGCCAGAACCAAACATTGCAGATGCTCCTTTCTGCCTTTAGATGGGAAATGCAGCCTCTACCAAAAAATGTATTTCAGCGTTCTTGTCCTTTTCAGCCAGTGTCTTTGCAGTTCAAAGGGACTATATGTATTATTTTGCTGTCTGCCTGTCCCCATCTGCTATTAATATTTGGCTGTTACTTTGTGCCAGTGCAGTTACTGTGGTGTAGCTTGGTCTTTAGCTCCAGTCTGCACAAACTATACATGTTGTTTTTTTTAATGGAAATTAAAGATCTGTATGATGTACTGTAATTTATAAATTATATAGCATTGCTCGTGAGAGGAAATAAAATAAATCATTGTTTTTTGTTCACGTAATCTCTGAATCAGCTCTGGATGCTGTGTGATCTGAAAGTCCAGTTTGAACGACACATGAACGAAGGAAAATGCCATTTGGCAGAGCCACTGGTCACAGCCATCTCTGCCTTAAACAAAACTGAAGGTCTCTTCAGGTAACGCCAAAGCAAAGCTCTTGAGACCTCATTTTTACAAAGGCTCTCTCATACATGTTTAATTTGTGCAGTAGCAATAACAGTGTTCTCGCTTACAGGAAAGCTCAAGTTCTGAAGGCTCTCAACCGGAGCACTGAGGCGTATAGCATCTTACAGCGGCTACAAGTTCACTGTGAGAAGACTAAATGTACAGAGATGGTCATCAGGTAAATGGATACTTCTTTTTTTATGATAACAGATTTTGGAAACGCATACAAATTCTTTTCTACAAATGTATTCGTAGGCATTCATACTTGGGTTTTAAAAGCACTGTACTAAAGCACATTTTCATTCTCGTCTGCAACGCTGCCTATTCATGCCTCATACAGAGTGATGCTCTCCACTGCTGAGCTCCACTGGGAGTCATCTGGCTTCTCCACAGCTCTCCCTCTCCTCCTGCAGGCCTTGGCACTGGCCAGACAGCACCACCTACAGTCCCTGGCCTCAGAAACCATCCTTCATCTGGCCTTTACTCAGGTCAGCTATAACTAACAGACAGACTTCAGTCTCTCACTGTTACACCTTCCATATATGCACATCACCAGAGCCTTTACTCGCAGCACAGCGACTCTATATGCAAAATAAAAGGCGCTCAGGTGTGCAAAAACAATTTCTTTGTCTTTCTTCTCTCCCCTTTATACAGCTGATGCTGGGGGTTCCTGAACAGGCACTGAGTGTCCTGCACGAAGCCATTGAGCCTATTCTCGCCCACGGAGCAGTCATGGACAAAGGTCGTGCCCTGCTGCTGGCAGCCCGCTGTCAGATGGCAGTGGCTGGGTTCAGGCCAAATGGACAAGGGCAAGCAGGTAACCGCTTCAGCCCTCTTCGACCCCGCACAACACAGACCTCCCTTTTACAGCGTTGTGTGGGCTTTTGTTTACATTTACACACTGCAGCTTATTGTCTCCTTGCAGATTTTAACTTGGCTGTTTTGGCTGTCGAATCCCTAAAAGAGGCTGCGGCCTATTTCTCCAAGCTGAACTGTAAGGAGCGGCTGCGGGATGTCCACTACCTGCAGGCTCAGCTGCACTATTCTCTAGGACAAACCTCACAGTGCAAGAGAAGTGCCATGCTTTTCCGGCTGCTGGACCAGGAGCTGCAGTCACCAGCACCACCATTCTCCATGCGACTCTAGCTGCTCCATGTATGTCTACAAAGTCTAGATGTTTTTTTCTGAAAATTACACACCACTGTTACAAACTGTTCAATTGAGTTAATGCAGCTCACCACTAGATGGTGATGAAGCTCTGTCCTGCTCTCTCTCAGCACTAAAGCATTGCCTTTATAAATAATTAGGATCAGATGTAATTGGAACTCTTTGCATGCAGTGCCAGGGAAAAACTTGAACAGCACAATGTCAGCAGTCATAAACAAGACTGAGTTTCCAGCAAGTCAACGGTGCATCCATGGTCTCTTCACTCATGGTTAAGTGCAGATTTGAATGATTGCCTGTTAATAAATAAAGGATTTGGTTTAATAACTTGGGAAACAGTCCAGGTTTGCCTGATAGACATAGATGCCAGCTGCCGGTGTGGTAGAAATGACAAAAATCTATCAGGTGCTATCATGGCCATGCTGCTTTTTGATGAATAAGGGTAATGTAACAGAAGCTTAATGTGTTTCAGTGGCCTGGATGGTTCACACTTCACCAGGAGAATACTGATGAAGCTGAAATCCAGGGGAGGAAATTGTGATTACATTTATTTTGTAACATATTCACATTGACTATATACTCTGTACTACTTAGGTATGACATCATTTGTGATAACCATTTTGGCTGACATTACATTTATGTGTTTGGAAGGGTCTCTGTTACTTAAAATTACTTCTTTCAGGACAATGCATGATTTGTTTAATATTTAATTTTCAGGTAATCTGACACAAGTACAAGAATAACTAAAGAAAATATCTGCAGAGGGAATATTACGGTACTAATCTAGATTATGATAACTCTGCCCACTCCTTGAAAGTTCCTTTTGAATGACTATGTGTGTGTGGGGGGTTTCATGTCCCTTACCCCATAAATGGAAAACATTTGTGCACAGTAAAGGCAGGCCTGCTCTTTATGTAAATATTGGTAAGTCAGGTGATCCACCTTGCTCTCACAAGTGAGGGCTTTTGACCGTTGCTTGTTGGGATGTGTCGTCGAGCCATATGGTACCTGTTTGGTCTGATTACAGCAGGGGTGGCCAATTCCAGTCCTCGAGGGCCGCTGACATTTTGGCAAACAATCTGAAGTGTCCTTTCAGTTTACCTGCTCTCAGGTCTAGTTTTACACTGATGTTGTAATTTGTTTTTCACCACTTTGACATGAAAACAAACTGTCCTGTTTTAGACTTTTTCCTTTGTAACAAAATGAAAATACTACATGGACAACTTACAGTCACTCATTCTTGCCTGTAAGAGCATTAGCATTATTATTATTATTATTAATATGTTGGATAGTCTCATACTATATATAAAATTGTTTTAATATAAAAAGCGGATGTGTTTTGGACTTCTTCACACCTCCCTCCTGATCATTTATGATAATACAGGAGTCAAATTAAGTGCCACCTCTTACTTTACTTCACATCATAAAAATAGTGCCAAAAAAACTCAGAGAAGGAGTGGGGCTATGTCTCCTTAGCTTAAACACTGCTTGAGTCATCATGTGTTGTGGTTCTGTCCAAGTGTCTTTGAGGAGACCGTCCAGACCGAGATGGGCAGAGGAGGGTCTGAAGTCACACTCAGTATCCTGCCGGGTAGCCTCCTTTTCTGGGGTCGGACTCCGCACAGAGATGCTCTCCCTGCCGTACCACCGCCTGGACCACCGTATCCGGGGCCCTCAGCAGCTGTGTTACATGGTTCTTCTGGACCAGGCCTTCCAGGACCTTCTGCAATAGTATTATTAACACACACACACTTTAGTCTTGTACATGAGGTGTAAAAAAATAAATATCCATTAGTCTGTTAATCATGCAACTCTTACCATTTCTGATTGAAGTTTTATGGAATAATTTCTTTCCTTTCTACCACTCATGTAGTATGAATTCATGTAGTATGAATATGAAACATGGTGTAGATAGGTTGTTCTTTTCAGCTATTTTATGCAAAAATGTAGACATTTATGATGCTCAGAAGATGAATCTTTAGTTATTAGCATATGCATGTGAGCAAATTAGTAAAACCAACATTAACATTCAGTTCCAGCCACAGCTAGACCTCAAAGGGGTGCCTCATGGTTGTAGATTATTTCTCTTGTTTGTATTTTAATTTCATAATTATATTATCATCCTGTTAATGCAGATGAGTTCTTGACTGGTGCAATCTCAGGGACGAAAGACTAAGGAAAGACAAATACCTAATAACTGAAAGTACTAATACCCCACGTTTCAAGTCTCAGCAAGTTAATATTCATGCAAAAATTAATGGTTGCCTGTAGAGTAGGAACTCAGCCAAGTTTTTAGTCAAATGAGTATGTAATAATGCCTCTTTAAAAGCAAAATAAAAAGCCGTTTAGTGATATATATTTCAGATGTTTTGCATCACGAGTGTCCGTGTGTAACCCACCTTTACAAAGCCCTGTTCCACCACTGTCATATTTGGGTTGTGCCGATTGTAAACTCGTGGCTCGGTCACAGCTTTCTTTAGGTCATAGTTGAAGAACAGGGAGTTCAGGATGACCTGATTTAGTCAGAACAGGCAAGACAAGTTTCCCCATCATTAAGAGTGAGTTTACAGGATGGAGATGTATGTGAATGAATTTGACTTACTAATGCAATGGCTGTGGGTATTTTTGTGCCCCCAGATGCTCCTACAACCATTTTTACTTTGTTTTCTTTGTCAAAGATGATGGCAGGACACATGGAAGACAGTGGCCTCTTGCCTGCAGTAGAAACAATGTGACTACAACTATTTAATGGATTAATATTTACTTCTTACCTTATGGTTTGATGGTTCCCATGCTGCATTTTATCAAGTGAAGCACACTGCCAGATTAATTTGACTAATTTACAATGAGTGGAAACAAACCAAAAAAACAGCATTGAGCTGCAAAGCGAGATTAAGTCTTAGCTTATAGCGTTCAAAAGGAGGAGAATGATAGTGTTTCTGAGCTAAAACTATCAGGGTTCCTGACAATGATAAATGGAGGAAAGGCTGGTGGAAACATCACCTCTGCTTAATCCACACTAGAGAAAGCGTCAAGTAGCAGCCTCTGTGAGTGTGGAAACAAGGAGCTTAATGTTTATTATTAATGTAAAGACAGTGCACTCTATTAAAAGAGATGTGTCCAAAGCTCATAAGCTAAACTGGGGATCTGAGTAACAGGAGTGTGATCTAGCCACACCTGGTTGGATGAGGTTGTTGGGCGATGGAGGGATTCCAAACCCGTTGGTCACGTACGGAAGACTGAAGTCATACATTTCATCATTAAAGATGATTCCAGTCGATCGAGACATGACTTTGGAACCAAAGCTGGGGAAATAAAACAGCTTTTTATTACACGATTCATTTAAAGTCCCAAATAATAAGCAGCCAGGATGAAGATGTTTTTTTTATTTTGTAAGGAAAACTATATCTTACTGTTGATTAATTGTACTGGTGGCTGCCACAGCACTGCCATCCTCAGCTATGAGTGAAAGGTGAGCTGTCCCGTGGTTGTCTGGGACAAAATAGCCTGGCTCATAGTAGCTGTCTGGGTGGGTGGTGTCATCTGAAATTTTACTCCTTATGCAATCAGCAAAGTAGTCTGAGGTCATGTTTTGGATGAGCTGAGGAGAGCAAAACAAGTCAGTTACAGTGCTGCAAGTATCTTATGATAATCCTAAATGGTAAAGAACAGCAGAGTACCTGCTGGCCTTTGTAACAATGCAGAAACAACCCAAATTTTTTTTCAATTCAGTCCGAAATAAATGCTGCCGGAATAAGTGTTACCCTCGAGCAAGGCATTTCACACCCAAACTGCCCTTGCAGAACTAGAGGCTATCAGGAGACAGCTGTGATCATACGAAGAAGTTGCTCTACAATAAAGGTCTGAATAATAGTAACATTAAGGCTTACGTCAGTTATATTGAGATAACGTGGGTCCCCAAGTCTGCTCCTCTTGGCATAAGCAAAACGAAAAGCCTCTACAATACGATGATATGTCAGAGTCTTTTTCTCTGCTGTAGAGACACTTGTGTCTGTAAAGTTGTATCCTGCAAAATATCCACAAGAAAAATTGTGTCTGGAGCAAATAAAAAAGCTATTTCAGTCAGTGGCAGGTCATTAAACTACAAGTCAAATAACAACACAAGTTCTTCCAGCACACATGAATTTGTAGGAGCATGTTTTTCCAGAGAAGGCATTTTCCCTCATTTGAAATAAATGATGCCTCTTTTTGTTAAAACCATGACTAAAGATTCTCTGCCTGAACAGATGGGGAGTAGATGGTGAATTAAATTTGGCAAGCAGAACTGAGCTTTCAAAATGGGTAGAGAAACATTCCAGGGAAGACCTGGGGAACCCTGACATTACTTCTTCTGCATGGCTGCACAAGCCTTTGGCCATGCTGCTCACCATCCACTATGTTGAGTATGAGTGCCAGTACAGGGCCACCTGAGGGGGCGTCTGGGACATGCATGGTGTATTCCCCAACATTCAGCTTCAGAGGGTTCTCATTCAGCACAGGCTGGTACTCCGACAAATCATCCAGGGTAATAATGCCACCTGGAGCAAGGACAGAAAATTTAAAATGAAAAATAATGGTTATGTTAATGATTGCCAAATAGTGATATTCAAATTAAACATGAGCTCCATAATGACTGGCCTGCTTCCAAGTGCAGTCACTTTGTATTTGGTCACATATTTCTGAAGACAATGAACAAGTCGGCAACACGACACCTGCAGCCTGGATGTCCTCAACGATGCTCTGTGCCATTGACCCACTGTAAAACACATCTGGCCCGTCCTCTGCTATTCTTTGGTATGTGTCAGCCAGCTTTGGAAATCTAACAATATCATTTTCCTTCAGGATGTTTTTTTGAGAATCACAGAACACCTCACTGGAAAATGAAAAGAAAAAGATCAAAACCAGGCAAGTACAAAACTGAAGCCAAATGCTGACTAGGCACACCCCAGTGGTAATGTCAAAAGAGCCACTGTGATAGATGACAACGTACCACCCTGTTATCCAGCTGAAATGGAACATACAGACTTCATGAAGTGTCTCTGTAATAGTCCATTTATGCCAGAAATTAAAAGTTATCAATTCTGAATCTGTAATTGTTTTAATCATTAAGGATTTATATTAAAAAAAAAAAACTTTCCAGGACCTAGACCATTGGTTTTATTTACATGACCTTATTCCAATGCAAAGCCTAGGGGACCTAATGACTAAGTGGGTGCGGCAAAGGAGAGGAAAACAAATTTACACATACAGAAGGTTGCACAACTGAAACAAACTAGTAAGAAATGGGGAAAATCCTATGCACTGGGAGAGAAGTTCTTAAAATGCATTCAGCCAAGAAACTTATCTTAGCCCCCCAGTTTAGCCAGTATCTTCTGCATTTAGTTCCTCATCCTCACCACATGTTGGCGTCTGCTTGAATGAAATCTTTGCTCTTGAAGATGGCATGGGCCAAAGCCTTTCCTATAGGAAAGCCATCGCGAGCCAAGGCAATGCTCGGCTCAAACAGCTCCTTCCATGGCAGCTTGCCATGCCTCTTGTGCGCCAACTCATAACCGCGGATCTCCCCAGGAATGGCAATGGACAGTCCACCTGTCAGGCAGAAACAACACTACCACTGTTTTGCAATTCACAAACGTCCTCTTTCTGTCTCTTGCCTGTGACCAGCATACTAATACTAATACACCCAGAGACATCTGTAGATGCAGTATGGTGCACATCCAGAATTTGTATTTTATTTATATATAACCGCCACCGTGTGCATGAGAAGATCAACTGTAGAAAATTTAAAGATGAGAGAACATCGGAGATGAGCCGGGTGGATAGATTTGACAGTAGAGAGTAATCCCTCTCTCTAGCATTAGTCACGTAACAGTAAACTCATAGTGGATTTCTCTCCCCTGCGTCTGGGCAATATTCCAGCTGCTCACAGTTAGTTGCTACCTGTGTGAGAAAGCTTGGAGTTGTTGGCAAACATGTCTTCAGTGGCGTTCATGGGTGCCGTTTCCCTCGCATCGATGGTTTCCACCTTCCCTGTCAAGTAGAAAATGGGGCCAGATTGGTGAGGGAGTTTTTGTTAACATTCTTGAGAAGTAACGAAGGATGCGCACTGACCTGTGGAGGCGTTATAGATGACAAAGTAGAGCCCTCCTCCAATGCCCATGCTGTGAGCGTTCAAAAGGCCGACGCATAGCAAGGCAGCGATGGATGCATCCACAGCTGAACCGTTTTTCTTCAAAATGTCTCTGAAATCACAAGAAACTGCCCGTGTAATAATCCTTTACATGTGGGAGACAAACGTCTAGAGGATTAGTCTTCTAACCTCCCCACTTCCGAACACTTTCCAGCGTCGGCGGCCACAGCAGCCTTTAGGTAGATGTGGTCCGAGGAGGGTGGCGTGTTTTTCTTTCCCAAGCCCATGCACAACCCCAGGAGGAGGCTCAATGTAGCCACCAGAAGGACCACCAGACCAGCAATCAGGGACTTCCCAACCATTTTCCTGGCCGAGAAAGTCAGCACAGTCAGCAAGTGTCTCCTCCACCCACAGTAATTTTCAGTGGGAGCCAAACGTTTAACATGAACAACAATGTGAGGACAAAGCGCATTATATCATTCTTTTTTTTAAAACAGGGGGTAGCAGAAAGTTCACTCACCTTTGGCGTGTTGATTTTGCAGATTGATGAAAAATATCTGATAAAAAGAGTACAGAAGAAATTAGTTGACCATTCAGCCGACGGTGTGTGTGTAATCGGTAATGGCAAGGTGTTAAGTATGACCAGCCTCAGTCACCGCTTCAGAAACATGTCATCTTTGGTTTTCAGGTGTGACTTGGCTAAGGTGTCACAGAGTGATGCTGATGAGTAATCCTTTCTACAGCCCCAAATCAGAAAAAGTTGGGACAGTATGTAAAATCAAAATTAAAACTGAAAATAGTGATGTGTAAATCATCTGTGTCCTGTGTTACATTAAAAACAATACAGGATCATCAGTTTTATTCTTTATTCAAAATAAACACACTTCAATTCTGATGCCTACAACACATTCCAACAAAAGATTAGAGGGTTGCATTTCAGGGCCAGTAGCAAGGTAAAACAATGAAATGATGGTTCCATTTGAAACGGGTGATGTCAACAGGTGATTGCATCATGATTTGATACAAAAGTGGCATCCACGAAAGGCCAAGCCCTTTAGGAGCAAAGATGGGCCGAGGACCACCAGTTTGCCAACATAAGTTTGAGAAAATTATTGAAATGTTTAATAACAATGTTCCTCAAAGAAAGATAGGAAGGGATTTGGACACGTCACCCTCTACGGTGCAGAACATCATTAAAAGATTCAAGTTATCTGGAGGGATTTCACTGCATAAATACACAAGACTAAGCTGGATGACCATGCTCTCTGATCCCTCAGAAGTCACTGCATCAAGAGTCGTCACTCTTCTATAAGCGATATAACCACATTGGATGACTTTGGCACTACAGTGTCAGGCACTACAATATATAGTTACATCCATTAATGCCGCTAAAAACTGTACTGTGCCAAAAGAAAGCCCTATGTCAAGTGTCCAGAGGCGCAGTCAACTGATCTGGGATGGACCATCACACAGTGGAAACGTGTATTGTGGTCAGACCAATCACTATTTCAGGGTTTTTCTGGAAGGAATGGATGCCATGTGCTCTGTACCAAAGATGAAAAGGACCATCCAGACTGTTACCAGCAACAAGTCCAAAAGCCAGGGTCTGTCATGGTCTGGGTTTGTATCAGTGCCTTGGCAAAGGTCACTTCCACTTCTGTGATGGCTCCATTAACGCTGAAACATACAGAGAGACTTTGGAGCAACATAGCTGTCTTTAAGATGACATCTTTTCCAGGAACGCCCATGCATATTTCAGCAAGACAATGCAAAACCTCATACTGCACATTACCAAGGCCTGGCTGTGGAAGAAAAGGGTGTGAGTACTGGACTGGCCTGCCTGCAGTCCCAACCTGTCCCCAGTAAAGAATGTTTGACACCTTTTGAAACGCAAATTGTGTCAACAAAGACCCAGGACTGTTGTGCACCTTAAGACTTGTTTGCAAGAAGAATGGGACAAAACGACACCTGACACATTTAATCACTTGGTGTCCTCAGTGCTGTGAACAGGAATGGTAACATCACGCTGTGGTAAATGCTTTTTTTTTTTTGAATGTGTGGTATCTGAATTGAAGTGTTTATTTTGAACAAAGAATAAATTGAGGTATCACATCCAATGTGCTGCTGTGTTTTCAATGTGATATAGGACACACCCTGCTTGCCCTTATACAGACCTGGCTGTCTTTATCAGCTTCAATTACTATTTTGACATATGCTCTCAAAGAATTGTGGACTCTTATCTGCATGGTCAGCATTACTTGCCTTTTGAGACATCAGCCTGGTAGGTACATTCTGTATTGTCCTGTGTTTCTAGTTTGTAAGTTAATTCCATTATCCAGTTGCTACTGACCTTTTGGATTCTGTGGTGCAGTTACACTTCTGATTAACTATCCTGCTGGTTACAATTTAGTGTTTGTACCATTAAAACCTGGCCTTAATTGTACTGTCTGGCCTACAGCTAGATCATGAAACTTTCTTCAGTACTTGCTCTGAGCTCTTGAGAACATGAGGTTTGAAAATTTGGCAGAAAACGTCACTAGTTCACAAACCTGCTTTTGTTGTGATTGAATATTTCTTCCTCTTTAATCTAGATGTCTCTTTAAAATCATGCATATGACCCTTTTCTTCACTTTGGAGTGAGACTCTTGAGCTCATCTTTCTCGTCCTCTAAAACCTTCCATTCCCCCTCAGTCTAGCTGTCTTACCAAAGTGAAGGTGAGTGATCTGTTTACAGATGCAGGTGGTGTTCAGCCTTGACTCGGGGCTCTGTGTGATTGGCTCAGCCAGCAGCATCGCCATGCTCAGTAGCTATGTCGTTCTATTTGGTTTATTCTGCAGGCATCCTCACACTGATTGAGATGCCTGAGTGTTCACCCAGGAGCACAGGTCCAAACTGGTGGGGCCAATGACTGGAGCTTCTCACCAGCAAATGCCCTTCTTTAGTACTTCAGTTAATCCAGCAACCACTTCTGTTCCTGGGCCTCACTGATAAAGCACTGCCAAAGTAGCCTGTGGGCTGCTGCTACTGTTGCACCTGTGATTGTGCCTAAATTTAATCACTGCTATCCTGTTCTGGATCTCCCAGGTTGACAGCTGCCCCAAGGAGGGGAGTTTATTTAATGGACAGATCTGATTTATTTCAGAAGAGGACAGTTACATATCTGTTGCAGATCACAAAAGCCTTTCTTTAGCTTTTGTTGCATGCTTCACTGTCACTGGATGCAGGGTGTTTATGAAATATCAGCTGGAGCTTATGAATATTTTTACCCCTCAGCTAGAGGCATATGTTCATTTTGACTTTCCTGGGAGGGATACACACATACCTGCCAGGTTTCCCTCTTGTTTTCACACCATAAAGCGGGAGCCTTGTCTATGCTTGTTGACTTGGCAGCAAATCAAACTGCACAGCTGTTGTTCCTGACAGAAACACTTAAAGATGGCTGCGGTGGAAGAGGAGATGGTGGGGTGGGGGGGGACCTCCTTATTCCCCAGGTTCCCACACAGTTTTGCTTGTGAGCCCTTATAGTGCAGGTGGATGCACATGCTTGTCAGTTATGTTCAGATCGTAATACTGTGTTTGGGGGTATTTTTGCCAGACTTGAACTGAAGACATTACAATGTCTGAAGCCCTAGTTACAGGGAAACCCCAGTTCTGCTGCTTCCTGTTGCTCTGCTTGATTTGTATGCCATCTGGAGTGTTTTGTTTCCTTTGTCATTTCAGTATCTTAGTGTCAGTAATATTAGCACTCGCTGTGCTTATGTAATTTCATCAGAAAGTCAAGGTTTAGAAGAACTTTTGAAAAAATAAGTTGTGTAGCATAAAAATACTTTCTGCTTTGCTGTTAGTTCAGAGATATTCAAAGGTGAGAGGCAACAGCCATATTTTAAAAAGAGTGGTCATTTATGTTTTAATGCAGTAACATTACTGGGTTTGTTCTCCCACAGAATACTCTACAGCTGTTTTTATTAGTCATCGCTCTTTACGCAGTTATGATCTACTGCGCTCCAGTTGTTGCTGATTCTATGGTTTAATAGCATTGATGGTGCCATGAGATGCCTTTGAGTTTTAGTGCCAAACTCACACATAAACAGATTTCCTTGTATAACATTTTAAAATCCAATACAACAGATGGGTTTGTTTAGCACATGTTGCAACAGAGTTTTTTTTCCCTCTGAAGAGTCAAAACTCTGTCTAAACAAATTAGTAGCATGAGGATGACACATTAAAGCACCAGTCACTCATAATTACAACCTACAGTGCAGCCAGTGGAAAATGTTTATTAGAAAGCAGATAAACTGTCCTGCTCCACTAGACAAATGTAATCCTAAACAATTCCAGAAAGTAAGGTCAAATCAGGATCACTGTCTGTAACCACACAGTGATGGGATTTAGAGGCTCTCTGTGCCAAAACTACACTGAGCTTCACAATACTGGTTTTTATTTAATGTTAACATCGTGACTGAGAGCTGCCTATCTTCACATGGCTTAATGTAGCCCTGGGTCTCACATCACTAGGTCCCTAAGCAAGCTACTGATCCATGTGACAGAGATGTGCACTGGCACATGGATGTTCTTCAGCAAATGACTTTGTTGTGGATTCTGAGAAATGCAAACAGATGTTGACAGCTCTTCTGAGTTACAAGAAGACTGCCAAAGGAGAAATTCATGTTTGGAGCAGATGCAGAAGAAAGACAAACGTTCACTAAAAAAAAGTTTTCATACATTATTTGGAAGAGTTCTGCACAATTTAGTGTACTGGTCGTATTGTTGCCCGAGATACTAAAAACAACACTGAGATCATTTCTTATCTAACTCCCTTGTAGCTGAGGGGTGGGGGGGTTTAAGGCTGGGAGGAGAGACGTGCAGCGGACACCAGATTCTGCGATTGGTCGGATGCTCCACGTTGCACAAACCTAAACAGCAGCGTAAAGCCGAGACCAGAGGATGAAGCAGCAGGAACATCATCACTATCCTAGTCAGGCGCTGGGTGAAACGTCTCTAAATACCACCGTGTGACGCGTGCATGAGATAATGGTGATAAACTAGACTGTCGAGGGGCACCGTGAGGTTCTGCAGCGGATCCTCAGACTGTTGACAGCCAGGCAGCAACAGCGCCAGACAGCACGGCGCTGTTTTCCACCGTCCACCGACGTGCGTCTGCTGGCAGAAAAACGGGGGTTGATCATGGCTTTGTCCTTTTGCTAACTACTGTCTGAACTGCAACTCAAACACAGCTTGGCTTATAGGAAAATAATAATACCATGGGTTCCAGACTGAGCAGGCAGAGCAGCCTGGACAATGAGAATTTCTCCAAAAAGCGACGCAAGCTTACAGATAGTACTGGAGAGAGCGACAGGGGCAGTCGGGGTGGCGGGGACTTTCTCTTTGCACTGATGCTGAAATCAGACAAACTGCCCGGGATGCTGCGTCGGACCAACCACAGCCCGTACGTGAGGCGAGTGGCTTGGATCAAAGAGATCCAGAAGCTGCTCCGTGACCGCAGGATAGAGCGGGCAACCGACGTGCTCAAATTATTGAGGAAGGTAAGGACAAACTGCACACAGCTCGGCCTGGGTACGGTAGGCAGACCTGTTTACACACAGTACGTGCGCTATGGCTGTGCGCCTGCTTTGAGGGTGCATTCTCAACACGTCTCAAAGCAACAGATGCGAACAAGCCAAAGCTGCTCGTTTGTGGATCTAGCTTTATGTGTCCTGCGCGTCCACATGTGGTCTGCTCTGCAGCCCTGATCCTGACCTCTGACCCCCTCCCACCTCGCCCCTCTTTCACCTTGAGCTCATTCTGGCTGCCTCAGCCACTTCTCCAAGAAGCATGTCTTTTTAGAAGGTAGGCTACCAGCAGAGCAATGTGACAGTGTTTAAGTGGCAGACACAGCATGTGACTCAGAGTTCAGTATCACTGTAGGCTGAACATGTTGAGTGTTGACATTTGATTTGAAAGAATAATCTGTGCTATAGGAAATGGTCCAAATGCATGATGTTTGTCATCACATTATCCCAAATTTCATTGTCTTTAGATGGAATCTGGATACTTCCAGCACACACAAACGGAGCCCCTTCCCTACTTTGCCATCCAATGTCCTTGTTTCCTTCACCAGGGCCAGCCTGACCTCTCCTCAGGCTGTTCTAACACTCAGGGCGACCTGCCCCTTCCAGACCTCTCCTCCTATGTCTCTCTCTGTAATGTGGTGTGCTCCAGAAGCAACAGTGTAAGCCCAAAGGGCTTTTTAACTGTCTTTTTCATACTTTGTTGTGCATGTTGTAGTCATGTGAAAAGTTTGTCTTGTTATTGTCCCGTTTGGCTAACGAAGATCTTTAAAAACCAACATCAGGTCAAAACTGTTCTGTCATCAAGCCAAAAACTGTTTTATGTAGTTTGCACTTGACCATGACAGCAGGTCCAAATAGCAGTAGTCGTGACCTATGTTAGACGAGGTCTAGCTCCTGGATGCCGACTAAATGTTTGTTTTCAACACATTTTCTTGCCTGCTATGGGATATGTAGCATTAAACTGTGTAAAAGAATAAGTTGGTGCACCGAGAATGTGACAGCAGCCCCAGTGATCTCATTTGTTTGCTTGCTCTCAGGACCTTGTCTCTGTTAGCTGTCAGGCAATCCAGCATTAATTACTCTGAAGCCTTGACACAATAGAGGGGGAACCTCCTTAATCAAGCTGAGGAGATTAACTGGCTGTCCGAGGCTCCATGACAAGGAATAGGGGCTTGCTTCTCCTAACAGAGCTCTGCTTTTTAAGTCTTATTTCATCCTTCCTCACAGCACTGTGAGCAGGCAGATGTCTGATAGTCTGTTCTCTAAATTTAAATGGAGGTTGCAGCAGAGTTAATTGGTGTGTAACTGTGAGCTCGGCACCAGATCTGAAAAACATCTGAGTTTTGCTGCAGATATGGGAAGGATTCATGGCTTCATGCTGCGCTTGCACATGACGGTTGATTGTGTTTAAACTCAGGTGAGGAGATATATTTATACCTGTTTTCTCAGAAAGCCAAAGTAGCTTCTCCCCAGCCTTGGGTTCAGCCTGCGTTGTCCTTGTTAAAATATGGAGCTGCCAGCCTCCCACTTAAACTGTCAATAATAATCAATGCTGATTATGTTCAGAAGTAAAAATGTGTACGCATCTGTATGTCTCGGGGGCTAGCTTCTCTCATTAAAATTGCATGGGCTGCGTAAGTGTCTGTCACCATAGTTTGCTTCATTAGGACCTTGTGGATGGATGTGTCGATGAGGGCGACTGGTATAGTTCAGCACGCAGCTGCACTGCTGACTGTTTGTCTCCTCACACTCAAAAGGTCATCTGAAATGTCCTTAAGTTGATTTCTTAACTGCTGATGTTTTTGGATTTGTCATATTTATGCCATGACTGTCAGGTTTAAACTCTTTGGAGTATTTATCCTGCACAGACTCTGAAATATTTTGAAGTACCACTAACATTTTATTAAAAAAAAAAAAAGGGGG